GGATTTCTGCCTTTGCAATACACCTGACATCACAATAATCGTATCAGTTTTAAGGGCTGATGCGGATCCTGCAGTACTGATATGGATCTGCAGGGCTGATGTGGAGAAATGAAATATGAAGATATTACAAACAGTTATCAAGCTCAAAAGTCCATAGAAAACAATAGAAATTTGGAGCAGACCTCTAAAACATCAGAGGTGAGATCAGGTGTCAGGTGCTTGCCATGGGGGAGTAGGCATTCCCTGTACACCGGTCACACCCGCCGTGTGCTCATAGTCATGATTGAGAAACGGAACAATCAATTAAAAAATCAAAGACAATTCAGTCTGATAATGGCCTAACAATTTGTATGAATGCGTCAGTCAACACTCGACTTAATCAAAGATTGTATATACTATAATAGTATTTGCTGACAAGGTCATTGTATCCACCATAGAACTTTTGACCTTAATGTTAACTTTAAACGAGACTGTTGATATCCTAGTATCATCAACTTATTTTTCAATAGCTTGCCTCGTTTTAGAAATTTATAAAATTGGCACATTGAGCATGCTCTTGCATATCGAATCAGCTGGGAGACATAAACTCCATTTGCAGGTGATAATGGTATATCGCTGCATAAAACAAGGGAAGTCGAAGTCATCACATTTATCATAAAGGTTTGTTGTTAGGTTACCATCGTCTTTTTCTAGTAAAATATCCAAATATGAAACAGATGAGTCAGACTGTGTGGTATCTTTTATTTGGAGCTCAAAGGGATATATCGAATCAACGTAGGAATAAAAATGAATACTGTTAATTGATAAAACGTCGTCGATCTATCTATATGTTGAATGGAAGGCCACAGCAGAGACTTCGTGCATATTTCATAAAATTTGACGATGTACAATGTATACCATTTATTTATCAAGCAAGACAACTTAAAAATTCAAAGTGCGTTGAATTATTAACAATATATGCTTCTGCTGAGAAGGTTTGCTGATAAGAAATAATGGAAATTATTGGGACTTTTAATGTTCTGAATAAATTTCTGCCCTAGACAGTAACTCAACACTTATCAAAAATTGATTGGAATTTAATCAATGTAACAATTGTTACGACAAAAAGCTTGTCGATGGAAATTATTTTATCTTTTTCTTTCTTATCTTGTTTTTACTCTTCTTGAGCAGTGTATATATTGAAAGATGTGCTGTTACAAAGAATAATCAAGTAAAAGCAAAATACTGCAAGGTAATTGAGAGGAGCATGAAAAGATCAGGCTCTGATGAAATTTAAATGGGACCAAGGCGGAAGTTATAAATGAATGAGAATCTCTGAACATTTAAGCATGTATTGGATAGCATTAGGTGGTAACTCAGCAGTTTTAAACAGTGCCATCAGAATTTGGATAGTGTAGAAGTGTTGTTTAGTGTAGAAGTTTACAAGATACGCGTACATTTGATTATTAATACATACACATTTCATCAATATTTTTAAACGCGATAATCCTTTAAAAGAGTTGATAATTTAGCATCATACGGGATCATATTTGATGCATTCACAGAAGTCACTTCCATATGATACCTTTTCGTTACATGAATAAATAACCTTTATCTGCATATAAAAATTAATTTTGCTTAAAAAACCCATCAAAAATTAGTTAAAAAGATATTTATATACTGCACAAAAGTGGAGACAAATGAATCTGTTGAATAACTACTGTCAGTATCCTGCTGATAGAACTCTAGATCTGCGATGAGAGGTAAGGCTTCAGTCAGTCTGAAACATAGTAACTGCACCGCCTAGTTTAGTAATCAAACTTTTTCATATTGGTGCATGTTGTGGAATATCAGTAAAAAAAATTCCTCTTAGAACACAGACAACAACCGAACATTATATTTTTTAATGCAGCAACATACGCGTCTGAAGATGATATGAAAGAAGGGAAATTTAATACATTTTTATTGGTAAACATTTAGAGCAACCATTTGAAAAAAAAAACAAGTCGGTTTTGAAATGGCTATAGCAACTAATTATGAAGAACTTCTTTTTCTTCATCATAAAATTGTTTAGATAAGTAAGTAAACATTATTTGTGTACGAGATTTTGTGGGACTTCGAAACCGAAGGAACTAGACTAAAATAGATGACATTACGGAAGAATATCTGCCGAGACGACTGTTAATTAAGACTTATGTTTTATATCTACCGTACTCTATACCACCCAAATTTCATCCTATAACTGACGTGACTGGGTGGGTATGAAATATTTTATGTAATATTATCAACGCCTGGGATGAAAACAAAATCGTCTACAGGGGCCCGTTTGTTGTTCTACATTCCAGTCAGTGGATTAATTATTCATCAGCTATGTCAGGGACCATTCCTGACTGTATATACTTCAAGCCTTTCCATTGGAACCAGTGTATATTTTGTTCCGTGACTCTAACCATTTACATGTAGTATCTCAATCCAAGGTGAAATTTGAGTCCAGTTGATCATCAGTGTTTTTTTATGGACTGGGATAGTTCATCCCTGTTTTATTTAATAAATCAAATACATCCGCCCTGTTCCTTCGGATGTGACCCTACAAACCGACCGAGGCTCTGTGTTGCAGTAGGTACTGACACTCAAAGGCAAAAAGTACCAAGTACAGGCTTAGATTTGCAGCCGTTCACTGTCGTCAAGTGTGAAAAATTATCGAAGGCACTTCCTACGAACACACACATACAAGCTCAAAGAGTACGAACTACCTAACAAACCAATTTTCCGGCGACATAAATATTCTTTTAGAAAATATCTTAAATACTTAATATTTCTAGATATTTTAGCATATATGACCATATGTCATCTTCGTAAATGGTACAACTGAATACATTTCAAAATGAAGCTTGATATTGCGAATATTCTGATAAGTTTGCATCTATTGAGTCACTGAGCAATTCTTACTGAGCATGTTTACAAGCAATGTAGCTATATAGGACAGCAATTTATCACACTGTAGAAGAAATGCAAATATGAGACATATCCAATATCCATTTTGCAGTGATTCATCTGTAAATAAATAACATCTGGAATAGGAAATCTGAATTTTAAGCCTTTCATACTTTTAAGTTTCTACGAAAATCTGCAGGACTATTGTTTGTGTGTACCGTAGTAACGAACGAGTATTGTGGTACACAAGGGCGTATCTAAATAAGATTAAGGCACATTCAATCAGAAGGGAATTCTTTGACATTATTCTAGTCAGTTAGTGAAAAGGTTTGATTTCCATTAGTTGTATTGTTTTCAATATACGCGGTAGCGAGCTGCACGAGTTTCACTGAGGGGCAATGAACTAGACTAATTAATTGTTTTTTGCTATTATTATTTGGATTCTTCGTTACTTAAAAAAAAATAAGTTGGCCTTACACTATCAGAAATCTTATTACGTCACACCGACAGTTTATATATTGGTCTGTTTCGTGTGTCCAGAAGTGTCATATTTAACGTCATCATGTTCAATCAATCAAGTCCCCGTCAACACCTGTATGTCTTCTAAGAAAAGTCTGTCGACAACCTTATCATCCAAAGACTACTTCTCTGGTGCGATGGCTGCTTACGAATCACCCCAGTCACGCGTCTAGATTTATTATTTATTCCGCTGTCTAATTAATTTGCCACATTGACGTTTCGTAGACAAGAAGAGCGGATGCTTTGATATTCCAACAAAGATTCCTTCTTTATATGAGGAATGGTACAGAGAACAGATTGTAATGTTCTCTAGACTTTTAAACGTTGTGAAGTCTGTTTTGTCTATAAATAATTCAGAGCATTTCCTAAAAATCTTTATGACATAGAGTAAAATAAATGGAGATTTTTTTTTTTCAACATTGCATTTTTCAAGATGTATTGGAACATACTAGTAGATTATGCATAGCTTAACATAAAAATATTTATTAAATTTGCTTATTATGTACATTTTCCAAGAAAGTTAAATTGACACTCTATAATCCATGTTTTAAATATCTGCTATGTGCTTCGTCAATTTGCAAAGGATATTTCATGCAAACGTAATAAAATATTTCTTTCCCCGTACTAGTCTTGCACCTTTCCTTACAAATACTCGCAGTGGGAATTCTATAAGTACATAATATAAGTAAATTGACGTCAGGCTAAAATGCGGAAGGTACTGAATGTTTAACATGGCACACCTGTCGGTACTGGAGAGTGATTGTTGTCCAGATTTCGCAGAAAAATAAACAAATCGAAAATTCCGAGTCAATTATGCTGTTTTTATAGATCTGTACTGATAACAGAACCACATTTTTAAATTTGAAAAGAGTAATCGATGAAAGTGAATTGATTGGGAATCGTTTTATGCGATTAGGTATTTGTGGTATTTACGTTTCGTTAGGGTGCCCATTGTGTTCGAGAATGAGGCCCAACGAACTTTTAATGGATCTTTTTATGACGTGCAATCAACGTGCGAACGATCGACGAATTTCCGGACGCAACGTCAGGGTAAAAAATAACTGCATTTATTCCATCGCGGCTACTTCCGCTTTAAACACTACACTCTTAAAATGAAATGAATGGCCCATGTGTTATTTTGCGAAATCCATATATTGTTGATAGATAATTGCTTCATTATTTACTGTCTGAGAAAATAAAGAAATCGTTAAAATAGATCACATTCTTTATTGTTCATGTATCATTGTAAATTAGTTTTAGTCTTTAATGCACTATCCCCACGAAAACGGCAGAATTCCCATTACTCGGATATTGAGTTTCTTTCTTTGTCTCAACGATATTAAACCATTTAAACAAATGTAACCTGCTTCTTAAAATCATGTAACACAAAGATAAATGTATAACGTGAAAAAAGTGGTCTTGAATAACAAATGACATGTACTGTATTTTTGTAAATGGCAATTCAGTAAATTTGTGCTTTTTGCTCACCTATATTGCGCGCGCCTCCCGTTCATCGTCTCTTTGGGATATCGGCTGTTGAATTAATTATGATGCTGCCAAACGCCATTGTAAAGATGATTCCGTCGTTTTTCGCATTTCAAAAGAAAAATATATTGAGTTATCATTAAATCGACGATCTCTGTCCGATGACGGGGGAACCCCAATAGAACACGGACCGTGTTGTGCCATATTTGGTGAATTGAGTCATTATGCATTGGACTTTATATTCTTACGCAAATGAAGTCATGCTTCCTGATATTTCTTTTTCCACAGCGAGTGTTAAATGAGAAAAGGAGATAGAAAACGTGTTAACACTAGGAATTTTAAATGTGGTCCTTCACCTAAAGTATATTCTGATTTTTCCCAATAATTGTTGCAGAGTCCTCTGATGCATTATCAAAGCGTCGATGAATTTTCACATTAACAAAACATGAAGTTAGAACACGAACTTACGCATACAAAATAGCAGGATAATTTTCTTATATGTCTTTTTTTTTTATCTAAGTTTATTTGATTGGTGTGTGCAGAAATTAAATTAGACCTGGGATTAAATTACCGTTATTGGAATAATGAATAAGTTGGATGGTTTGATAGAAGTTTTAAGACTTCGAGATATAAGGTAAGTAACTGTAAGTTGGACGTGTCAGTAGGTGATTTCTTTAAGCATAATTATAATTTCTGCTCACTTTATAAATTTAATTTTATCGGTATATCAGTTTTGAGTTAAAATTGCATGTTCCTTGGAACGTTTTAATACATCTTGTATTTTGCAACTCTTGAATTCCCTTAATTTTGAAAAAAGAGAGTTTAGGTGGATTCTGAATTAATTAGAGATACACAGTGATTCACGCTAATGGACCTATAAGAAAATATAAGCTGCTTATTCTTCTTCCTTTAAGAAGGAATGGACATAAAATGAGAAAATGATATAATTCCCAATCTGTCAAACTGGCTACAGGTATTTTCTAGCATGACCGTATCAACTTCGTCCTTCCGACTTGTTTGCTAATTAGTTAGCGTAATCTCTCCTAAGACAGGATGTTGTGCATTTTCTATAATAAGTTATCTTGATTGCGAAGAACTAGATAGAATGTATCGTAAAAGCTCAGCTTGCGTATTAATTGTATTTTTCTTCATCAACATAAAAACACTGCTTGCTTATTAAGTTTTCTAGAGGGAAACACAATTTAATGGAATGGAAATGGAATATTGTCAGGCAAGGGTTTTGCTGTCATGCTACACAAAAACATGTCAATGCAATTAGGCCAGACTGATAAGCGATGTCACAAATGCACCTAAATTCTAGACCTTCAATGTTGTGGCCTCTCTCGAATTGTCTCCTTCTGACAATGAAGTATGATGTATTGTTTTGAAAGCAAATCTGAACGATGGGTAATGAACATTACAACACAGTAACACGAAGTTAATGAATCCGATACAAGTTCTAAGGCAGACTACAAAGATTTCATAGCAGGCCCGGGACAAGATGAGAACCCCCTTGAGACTAATCCGGTTGCCTGCATTACGCGTTGACATTTACATTTTCCTTTCATGTCGCATCGGATTTTTATGGCCATTTTTCTGTGAAATGTATTCACTTTACAAAGAGTTTCCTTGTGTTCATAATAAAATTGTTTATGCTATATCATTGGTTTGATAATTAATTGAAGAAATATGCTGGTCCCTCATATTTTGCATTCAAATATAATATCAAACTTAGTTCATTGTACATGTATTTGAAAGAACATCGAGATGAAATATTTGGCAACGAAATGTCAAAATAAAAATGTTATTAATTTTTTTTCACAATATATATTCCTAAAAAGAATTTAAAACAAGATAAAAATTAAAACAAAATTACACGACATGGCATGCAAATCATTCATGAACATTGTCAATATAGCTCCGTAGGAAGAAATCTTTTCCTGAAACATAACTTTTTTTTTCAGAGTGTTCAAGAAAGACCCCGAGGAAAAGTCCTTTGTAAAATATGACGAACTGGATGAAGCGTATTCCGAGGAAGAAGATAAAAAGTCCCGTTTCCTTGGATACTGTCCTTCATGTACATGCTGCAGATGTATCGCACAGCGCTACCTAGTGGCCGTGCTTAGCTGTATAGGTTTTCTCATCTCGTTCGGGATTCGATGTAACATGGGGGTAGCTATTGTAACCATGACAAAAAACGAAACTTATGGAGACGAAAACAAAGTCCCAACAAAAATTCTCGAGGATGGGGAAAACTCAACTGTAGCTAACAAAACGGTAGGACATATGCCAAATAAAAATTGCTAAATACATGTAGATCATACCAGCTTTTGGAAAGACATTTTACAGACTTATTTTGCAACTAAGAAAAGAACTTTAATCCGAAAACATTTCCCCAGAACTTTCCTCAGCGGATATATGATAAAAAAATGTAAGAGATGCATTCTCCCACCTACCGACTTTTTAGCTAATTGCTAATATTCATAGCTATAGTAGATTTTAAATGTTTCAAATCAAATGAATCCAAACAATGATTTATGCAAGATTTTCCCTTTTCAAGGCCATAGCATTATGATGGAATGATGGAAATAGTGAGTCAATCACACACACAGCTATATATATATATATATATATATATATATATATATATATATATATATATATATATATATATATATATATATATATATATATATAAAATAAAGTCTTGCTTGTGATTAAATAAAGTGGTTATAAAAGACACCATATCAAGGTCGTTTAAATGTTCACTATTGCCGTCAAATTATGTAAAAATCAAACTATCAGGGTTATTTCTCATAAATGATGAATTAGCATCGATTCTAAGGTTCTAATACGATACAGTGAAAATCGATCATTCTGATCTAACGTTATCGATACATCACGTGTCATTTTTCAAGATAAGAATCCGGTATGATGCGGGAGGACGCATCCCTTTATTCTTTGCCAAGATTAAATATAATGGCTCCATCAAAATTTGTTTAATTGATTTTTTTTATTTTGTTTAACATGGACCACAATCGATATGCTATCTTTTTCGTTTACATTGAGGGTTGCATCAATTTGAATTCTCTTTATAATGCAAGATGGGGTCCAATATTTTCGCGGAAGCTTTCTCGCCTTTTGTTCTAACTTTGACATTTTAATCTTTCTAGAGAGAATACAATTGACCGAAATATCATTAGTGTGATTGTCTACAGGGCTATCCGGGTCCATATTAAGACAAGAATAGCATTTGATTTAGATTCCAGCCTATATAATAGACACACGTTTTATCTTTTTTCATAAGCAATTGCTTATTTTTATCCAGTTACTTTTGAATTTTTTTTATTCAATGTTAGCAATTTTATTTAATCAACATTCAACTGTGTAATGATAAAATTTGAGGAATCTAAAGATATGTTGTTTTCAAAGAGATATACCCTTGGGTAACACCTAATACTACATATGCGACCTTGAAACTAATTACGTATTTGAAGCATAAAAAGAGTCTAAACCCCGTTCTGGGATATTATCAGAGCACATTCCCAATAGATGGATGCCCCATTGTTGGGAAATAATTAATTGCTTTCCTGTATGAACTCGAAACATAAATGATTAATGACGTGACGTCACGATTGTTCACTTCTCAAATCCTGAAACTTTGTCTACGCTATATGCTATTGTAAGTTTCCTATAAAATCAAATTCATCTTACCTATTTCATCACTAATTTCATTATATTAATATTTATGGATAAAATAACATTTTCCGAAATGAGGGAAAAACAATCGGGATCGTCCTGTCTTATAATTTACAGTTATGGTGTATGTAGGAGCCATATTAATTGAATCTGTTATTTGTAGAAAAAGCACTTAGTTCAAATATAGGAGAAAATCAATAGCATTTATAAAGTCAGGCAAATAATTTTCTGGTACATATTTTCCCCTGAAGAATTAAATATTGATTGAAGCGGGTAGGTAATACCATTAGAGAATGATAATTATGGCCACACTCTGCCAAACCGTTTCTATTGGTGTCAATTCTGACACAAGCCAGGTCTCAGAGAATGTCCTCGCCTCGCTTCAGCAGTCTACGTATAGGATTCGAGTTTTTCCTACAACGTCACAACATGTGAAATGAAAGAATAAAAAGTATTCTACATTGTAGCATCTTACTTTGGCTTTCGAGGAGAACAATGAGTTTTCATTAATTCTTTAAACGAAGTCATAAAATAAATTTTATCCATTTTGATAAAAATCAAAAGAAAATTTCCATTAATAATTTTTCGATAAATTTTAAGAAGACTGACACATTATATTAATGTGACTTTTATTACCTTTTACGTACATGTTCATATTGTTCTCCGAGTCAGATTTTTTACGCGAATTAGAAAATCGCCAAAATTAATTATTTCGAATTAATTGAAACGTAAGTTACTGCGAATTAAATTTGAACCGCGTATGTGAACGCTAGGCAAAACTAATTTCAGTTAAATTTTGACGCATGCGCCCCATGTGATAAGACTTTGAAGTCAATTGGTATTTTTGAAAATGAACTAAAGCGGCACCAATACAAAGAGATTACTCAAATAAAGTTCAACAGCTGAGAGAGAGAGAGAGAGAGAGAGAGAGAGAGAGAGAGAGAGATTTTACACATTACAAAGTCTCAGACAGGATAGTTGTTCCTTAATAAATGATACCCAGTTACTACAATTTGCTAAGTATTTTTACAGGCACAATATAAGAATTCATTTGCAGCTCTTAACATACAATACAATTTTCACACTGTTACACCAAAATTTGAACATTCGTTAAATACCGACAAGATACAAAGGTGTTTTGTCTCAAAATATAACATAGTTGTATTTGATTTTTTAAGAACTCCCAAGTACAAATCGTTAAAGTCATATATGGCGTATTTTTGATACTTCAGACTAACTAAAATTAAAAAGATATTTCTATTTGTTTTATTACTCTATATAAAAATAGGAATTTCCTGTAAATTACACAATTTAAATCAATCGCGTTGCATAGATATTAGAAATTTAAAACAATAACCGATTTATATACCGACTCCGCATTTAAATATCAGACACAGCCTAAAGTCAATTTAACTATAGAAACTTGAGGTCATTCAAGTTTAAAATCGGTGAAAATTTTAATTTGAACGTAAATAACAAATATGTTCATTTACACTCAATCTCGAATTTTTATTTTTTAGCTCAGATACGCCATATATAGCTTTAAAAACCAAGATTCAATGCCGGGTACTTTGTGGAGTTCCAAACTTCACATCCGTAATTTGAAAAAAAAAAAGATACACACATAAGGATCAAAATGTGAGGCTATTTAATAGTAAATTTCTTTGCGCCCTGTCCTGTTGCTTGTACTTTACAGTCAAAATTTAACACAACGCATACGTAATCAAACTGGCCTATTTTCACATTCTAAAACCATGCAACTTCTCATTGGTGCAATTTTCCCCACCATTTATGAATACAACAACTAGTTTTTGATACTATTACATCCACTCCATTCATCTGTATAATTTTGTAGAGTAAATGGTTTATTTTCTCCTGTAAGGAGAAGTGTTGTCTTCCTTGTTTTTCATATTGTATGTCAATGATCTTGAAAACGAATTCATAGAAAGAGGAAATCCGCCTAATGAATAACAGTTGTGGAGTATTTATCTGCTATTGTTTTCTGATGATAAGGTATTGTTTTCTAAATCGATCAATGAATTGCAAAACATATTTACTCTATAGTCTAGCAAGTGACTTATTGGCATTGAAATATTTAAAAAGGTCAGTTGTGAACTATAGTTTGATTCTATGGAAAATAATAAATATTCTTGCAACATACATAGGTAATCGGTAGAGTATGGTTATATTTTTATCAAAAGAGCAAAAATGTAAAGAACTGTTTAGTTTTGGGTCGTTTTAGGGAGTACTGAAGTCTTAACATTTTCTTGGGATACATTAGATTTTCGTTAAGCTTTCCTTTAAAGTAGTACACAATAGATGGGCCAAAATTTTCCTCAGATTCAATTTTTTTGAAACTCTGATATTTTGTTCTAGGATACAAAATCTCTCTTTATATGTAATTTGAAAGAAATTCAACCGCACATTTTTTGCCCACATAGTTTGAAATATGGCCTAACAGACCTCTGTAAGAAGATTGTAAAATCAGACATTCGACTTGAGAATGTTCCTTATTTAAAAAGTATCAATTGATCTATTGCAAACTTGTGTGATGCTTTTTATAACGGCAACCATTTTGTTACTAAAATTCAGTAAAATATATTGATACTGGTAAATTTGAGTAAAATATGATGTAAAGCTAGGACATACATAGCCCCGGAATTGAAAATTCACATGTAAATATGCTACACTTTAAGTTCTCTTAAGAGAAAATGTATGATTCAATTTTTACAAAAAATCAACAGATTGATTGAAATGGATCACAGATTTTAAAAAAAAAGATGTGTCAAAATACGGAAAATTGAACCGATAGTTTCAGATCGATATTTTGGCGATTAAAAAAAATTCTAATGACAAAAAGTAATATTCAGTAGATGACGTCACAATATTTGACCTTTGACCTCTTAATATGACCTTCACCTTAATTGTGCATAAAGAATGGAGACTCCTTATATACATGTCCAAATATCAGTCCTCTACTATTTATGGATCAAAAGTTACACTGCATTTCATAACAGACTGTTATATCGCATTTATACAGCATAAACACGTTCTAAAATGTAAGCTCCCAAGTGACCAATATATAGGATGTATCTATTTTTTTTTAAAGAAAATATGACGAAAATATATCACAGCTTATCATTTTTCTTACAAAGATCATTGATTATTGACAATATAGGGATATTGTTCTTTTTTCTCATGTAATTTTTAAGGAAATTAGTTAAAATAGATTTAATGGGTGTTTTATACTTATCTACCTTAATTACTCTATCTTTCTAGGTTCATCCTTTTCTCCATCTGCCCCAATTCCTATGGACCCCGGAAACCATCGGTATAGTGGATAGTTCGTTTTTCTGGGGGTATATTGTGACCCAGATTCCTGGGGGATATCTAGCTTCCAGAGTTCCTGCAAATAGGCACGTATCCATTGTTTGTATTAGTCCATACACTTGTAAAATTTCAATGTACAAATTGAATTGCAATTAGAATGTTAAATTTTAGTATTGGTTGTATACAAAGAAAATATAAATATAATGGCAATACTCTAGCTGTTTTATTAGAGATTAGATTAACGCTACGAAAATTATTATAGAGGTTTCATCTTTTGTATTTTGTTTTTAATTTAAAAGCTGAGGTACACTATATCATTTGCCACATTTGGTTACAACTGAAAATCCAGATTAGCAAGCATTTTTTCATAATTTCTTCACTCCTCGCAATCATCAGATAACAACCATTTTATCTTTATAGGATATTTGGATTGGCTATAGGAATTTCTTCTTTTCTGAATATTCTTTTACCGGGAGCAGCTAGTGTCCACTATGGGTTGGTCATGGCAGTTCGAATTTTGCAAGGATTAGTTGAGGTAAGTACATGTTCATAAACAACTAAGAACACCATCCTCAAAAGCAATCATTATTAATGGCTTCTTGATATACATACAGAATAATACATGGCAAAATCTGTATCACACCCCATATCAACCCGAGGCTCCACTATCAGCCCGAGGGCCGAAGGCCAGAGGGCTGATATTAGTAGAGGGTTGATATGGGGTGTGATACAGATTTTGTCATGTATCATTGTTTTTATTATATATTTGAAAATAGTGTCTTAAAATCATTTATAAACTTGAAATTAATCAATGAATTTTTAATAATTTGAATGTGTTCTGTTCTTGTTGAATTTCCGTTTCTCATTTTTTTCCCAAAGGTATTGCGTTTAGTGATAAGAAATGAAATAATTACAAATTTTAAAAAACAATTACTTTGAACAACATTAAATATCTGATTAAATAAAATTAAAATTTAAATAAACTTCATAAACAAATAGAAAAAGATCCGAATGAAAAATACAGAGATGTTCCGGAAAGGTGTAATAAAGGGTGTGATAAAGGGTGAAATAAAGGGTGCTGATACAGAGTGAGTAATACAAGCGCGTGCCTGTGTTCATATCAGGGATGCAAAATTCCTGTTTTATATTACAAATATATAATAAATGTATTTATTCCATTTTCATCAGTGAAATACTGTAATTTATTTATTTATTAAAAGTTATATTCTGTCACAGTGTGAAACGATACTAAAGTGATATTCTGCCATAGTGTGAAAGGATATCAAAGTAAGAAAAAAATAATTTCTGGTCTGTCATAAGATATAGATAGTAACTAAACCATTTTGATAGAGACTAAAACGGCCAATTTCTTCCCAAATATACATGTACATGTTTATGTTGCTATTTAATATCAATGTCACAATTTTTTCAATATCACAATTGTTAAGCTACTAGATGAAATCCCGCGCAAGCGCGGGGAATTGAATTTATACCACTACCGACAGAAAATATATTGTAGTTCTCTACTGACAGCCTACAGGCTTATAGCAGGAACAAATACTTTGTTCAAATCCCGCAGGAAGTAGATTTACCTATCCACCCCAACCCCCATTTGTTGTGTTTGTTTTGTTTTATTATTTTTTTTTAACTTGAAAAATAGCAATTTCATTAATTGACGTTTATTGTGAAACCTGTTATACTATGTTATGGATATTGTACTTCAGATGCTCTTATTTCATTTCCGTCAAGGATAAAAGCAACGAATATGCACATTTTACTAATAAATTGATGGGGGGGGGGGTAAAAATTCACAGGTACTTGGGTCTTGGTTTATAAATATGTTTGTACCTTATTGATATGTAAAAATGTATTTTACTTTTTTACCTATCAATAATAGGTACATACATATTTATAAACCAAGACCCAAGTACCTGTGTAAAAATCAGCTTTTAACGCCCTATGAATAGGCTGAGTATTTGATACAAAAGAGTAAGCTGCAATAATGTAGCTCTCTCCGATTTTTTTTTTTTTTTTTTTTTGATCTGATATTTTCTGGCCTCTCTCTCTCTCTCTGCTCCCCCCCTTTCAAAAAAGGAGAGGGCTACATTATTGCAGCTATAAAAGATTGTATTCAGAAATTAACTGTGCATTGATTAAAGCGGAAAATATTACATCTTTAATTGTATTTGAACAATACCTTTTTCATTAATTAATCATGGCCGTAGGAACCGGGGGCACGTGGGGGGGGGGGCAATAATTTTGCCGATATATAAATTACTATTGCTTCCTACGGGCCTGAATTTTCTCTTTTCATGTAAGCAAGTTTATTACGAAGAACAAATTGTACTTCGGGTTCGTTGCCACGATGCTCTCAGTAAGGAATATATACAAATTTTACCGATAGATTTATTTGGAAAACCTACTACATACATGTATATGTAATAGTCTTTCGACATATAATCATATTCACAACTTATAGTGTTATCAGTGATTTACCATTATTTCAATTATGACCATTTACACGAAAAAGCTTTTTTTATGGTCATGTAGCTATAAGCGCCTCGTTTTTTTTCTTAACATCGGGCTCGATGCTATATGATGTTCTAGAAGCTTCCGTCAATATAAAGATCGGTGAATGACGAAAATATTTTGCACATTTCCCTTTTTAATCGGTTATCACAACTTATTTCTTTTATATAATTTAAATCGAGTTTTGATTGAATAATTCAGTGATGACGTTTTCTGTAATAAATAAACGATTGCTTGTTGTCAGTTTCATTAAAAATTGCCAGTAACTTAGATCCGCCAACCGGAAACGCCACCTTACTCACGTTTTAGCTATTTCATGGCTGTTTATAGAAAATGAAAGTAGACTTTTAATTTAATGTACGATACTTACTATGCGAGTGAAATCTAAATATAGTTTACGGACATCAGCTTGTAGCTAGTGTATTGTTAGAGGAGTAAGTAAGAACTCTGGTGCACCCGTTTCGGAGTTTATTTGCAAAATTTATTAATTTATAAGTATAGATGATGTCTCAACCGCTCATCTATGACGTCACCCAGCCTATTACACTGTTAAGAAAAGACAGGGGCAAACGGAAATTAAAAAAAATGTCGCACTCGTGAAAATATAAAAAAATCCAGCCCACTCGTGAAATAAATTCCATATCCAACTACGAAACATTGAATATCCTCTATATATCTTATAAAACCGTAAAATAAATTACACAGAAATAACATCTCCAATCTTGCCTTTATTATTGTATTAATATATTTGCTAAAATGGCCACAATATATCTTACTTAAAAATTTTGTGAAAAAATGATTTTTGAAAATTTAGAAATTGGGTTAGACCTTGATGAATATAAAGATTCCATGTTTTTCATTTACATATAAAGATTGATGAGGTCCCTAGTCTTTAAGAATCTTTTGTCGTTTCGTTAGATATATCTAAAACTTGAATGCAGACTGCTTCACGATTACTGCAGTACTGCTCTTTTGCAGGACAAATTGAATATAGTTTGGTAAAATATGGCGTAATAGCAATTGTCTAATAATCAACATTTAATTATCTGCCAACGAAACTTCGCTAAACGTTATTAATTTGCCTTGCAAAGGAGCAGTACCACAGTTATAATGAAATGGTTCAAGAGTTTATTGTCTCAACCACTGAGAGAAGGATATTCAAATGTTACCACATTCATTTACACATTGACCAACATTTTCTTCGAAAGGTGTAGTTATTTTACCTTTCTAACACTTTTATTAGAAAATAAAGGTATAGAAAAGCGAGTTTTATAAAAATAATAAATTGACACGAAGAAAATTAATTACAGCCTATACATATGTATTCACGTACAACGAAAGAGCAATTCCCCTGGCATAATCCGTATTCTTAATAAGTATCAGGGGCATTTATCTGTCTGCCACACAAGACTAAGGTACACTCAATAACATTGGAATTAATGAGGTCTCAGAATTAATTTTCAGCACGAAAGTGGGTAATTAACGGTGAAACGAAAGAAAAAAATCGAAATGTCTTTGTTGACACAAAAGATCTAGATTTTCAAGGATGGACCTTGGAAAATGCCGTGGTTTTAGATGTTCTGCAATTTTATAGAGAAAGAGAGAAAAAAAACATCGGATCTTGAAAAATTCACTGAGATGCGTTGTAAGGCGTTTCAGTAATTGTAAGTTAATTTAAATTAAAGTCATGGCTTTGTAAGTCGTACAGTGTATATTCAAATGAAAAGTTTCCCCGACGACGAAAATTAAAAAAAAAAGATCTAATGTAATGTAAGGATAACGAGGAGCGACCTTTGAAAACAGAAGTGGGACCAGGTGCCATGAAGGTGTAGGTATCGCATTTATCATGATCTGGTGAATAGAAAAAAAAACTTTGGGCAATTTAGTGTGAAAATAATGACCAAACAATTCGTATGAAGACGTCAGTCAACATTAAAGTTAACGATAAACTGTATGTATTTGCAAAAACAAGGTCATTGTATCCACCGTAGAATTTATTAAATGTTGACTTTAAACGGGATTGTTGAAATACGCATATCACCAACTTATTTGCAAGTATCCTGCCTCGTTTTAGAAATGGTTCGTACGTAGAAAATGCTCTTGCCTATTGGGAGTCGTAAACTCCTTATGTCGTATGATATTTGTATATTGCCACAAAAATAAGTTGACGATAGAAAAGTTGAAGTCGTCACGTGTATCGTAACTTTCAGTTGTTAGTTTGCCTTTGTCTTTCCCAAGTAAAATATCCAAATGTAAAACAGAAGTTCAGATTCTGTGTTGTATTTTATTTCGAGTCCACTGGAATATTTCGAATCGAATGAAAATGAATATTGTCAAATGATAAAACGCTGTCGACATATCTAAATGGCGAATTGAAGGTCACAGTAAGAGACTTCTTCGTTTCTTGTAAATTTTTTTGAACGAATTCTGTTACCAAAAACAGATAATCTGCTAATAACGGGGTACAATTACTTTCCATGGGAATTCCAAGAGATTGTTGGAAAACCTGGCCCCAGGATCATGAAACAGACTTAGGTTAAGTCAAATTTTCAATGGCTTGTAAAATACTTATTAATCATTGAATTAATCTCTACTTTTGCAGATAACATTTTTCTGGAGCGATATTGAAAAATATTTTACTTTTGATTTACTTGACTTCTACAAGTACATTTCAGTACAAGCTGTAGATTTTGACTTAAGCTTAAGATGTTTCATGATCCCAGGGCCTGGTCTCCAAAACCACAAAAATAAAGAGATATGAAAAACTCAAGCATTTTTATGATATCAATCTTGCAGTACTTTTGTATATAATCAGAGTGTTTTTTTTTAACAAAAAAAGTATGGAGATGACCAGTGACATAATATGCAAATTAAAGAGTTCTATTTTTATTATAAAGCAGTTGTCTATGATGTCAAAAAGCTTGCATTTAATTTATCGTAGAGAATGGTTGTATAAAATGTTGATAAGTCGAACGTTTTAATGCTACTCATTTTAGTAGAATTTTTATGATTTCAAATTTTCTAAAAGTTCCTTGGAGTTCTTAAGTATCCGCACCTAACACCACTTCTCAAATATGTTGTTGCACAATACTCCTGAAGTTTCCCCTTCACTGCTGTTGCTATTTTCGTGAGTAGTTAAGAAAGCGACTTGGTGGAACATATACTAGAGCTCCCCATGTATTTTGTTTGTTAAGATTTTTACGAAGTTAAGGAATTCAGTATAGATATGGTAATTCAAATTCAATTTGGTTGTTGGAAATATTAAAAATATTTAAAACTGACATAGGATTTCGAAGAATTTCGTTCTTACAAAGGAAACTATCTTCTATCAGAAAAAAACCCCCAGAATGTGTAAATCTACATGATTTTAAAAGATCGATAATGAACTAAAGAAAGCACTTTTCCAAAACATCATACTGAATGTGACCTCACACCTCGAAATTATATAGTATTAAGACTAGCTTTTGCAAGGTCAAATAGTGAATTTGTTCAACAAATTACCTTATTAACTTTAAAGGCGTTTCTTGCAAATAATATAACCTGAAATGAATTAAAAGCACAATTATAAAAGTAACAAAAATCCGTAAGATCTGTGTAATGCAATACAAGGATATTTCTTTAAATATCTGTATCAGTAACCATGCAAAGTTTATTTAAAAAGAAATGCAAAATCAGTAGTTATCAAAATTTTCGTCGTTAAGTTCCCAAAAATGAATATGAGTTCTATGAATGTGTAAAATAAATAGTAACATCTTCAGAGTCCTTTAGGAAAACGACTTAACAAATGTCATTTTGTTTCACATTGCTGAGTCATTGTTCAAAGCAAAAAAGTCTTTGTTCAAAATAATTGTTTTTTTTAATTAAACGTGTCTCCATCTTTGAAATTTAAATTCAAATATTGGTATGTCATATTTTAAAGCAAAAATTTAAATAACAAACTTATCCAGATTCAATTTATATCGTTAAATTTAAATACTAGTACCTGTTTTCCATTTTACTCCAACAGGGTGTGACCTATCCGGCTTGCCATGGTATCTGGAGACACTGGGCACCACCTCTAGAACGGTCTCGACTGGCCACCATCTCATTCTGTGGTTAGTATATCACAGATTATGAATTAAATGATTTATTTCTTCATTCAACCTAAAATATGCTTCATTGGTCAAACAAACAACTAAAATCACTACCTTGCCAGAAAAGAATTTAAAAAAAAAAAAATAAAAAAAAAAAATAAAAAAAAATAAAAAAAAACGTACAAAAAGGGAACAAACGAAAATGACTTAAGGGGTATATACATTTACCATATTCGAGAGAAAGAAATTAAGCCTTTTACAATCAGTATTCAGGGATGTAAATTACCCTACATTTGTCATCTTTATAATTATAACATTTTTGTATTTTGTTATTTATAATATTTTGTATGTTGTTATATGCATTATTTTTGTATGTTGTTTTATATGACTATTATTAATGTTTTGTATATAATTTTTTTGTATTTTGTTAAAATAATTACTAATATTTTTTGTGTGTTGTTAAATATTATATGTAATATTATGTTGATATATGTTTATATATACATGTATTGTTACCTTTAGGATCATATGCTGGAGCTGTTCTAGGGATGCCTCTTTCTGGAATCTTGACAAAACATCTCGGGTGGCAGTCAGGATTCTACGTATTTGGTAAGTAGTTATCCTTACTTAGAATACCACTATTTATTTTGCGTTTCCAACTGTTTTCTCTGTAAAAACTCTTTAAAAGTTAAGTGTGTTGAGGTTAAGCGAGGTTAAACCTGAACGTCATCTTGCGCATGCACTTGACTGCTGAACAGGTCGCTCCTAAGACAGCTCACCTTTAGGACTACTCAGTTAAGGCCTTAATTAAGAATCGTACACTATCAAGAAAACTACAGCCATCGTCCCCCAAATTCAGGCCGTAGAATTTTACTTGATAATTTCAAACGTAAAATTTTAGGTGCACAATCAGAATGATGACAATTTTGAATGCCAGTTTTATTTATTTATTTCTTATCCATGTTCCTTCCTATATACTCCAGTCTTTTTGGTAAATGAAAAATATTCCCGATTTATGTATCGCATATAATACAGAAAAATATTTGTATTTTCCTGTTAGATGCGGAGTGCCTGTGGAACAAGCAATATTTAAAGCCTGAATAATTCAAGATGGCTTTGCAGTTAATTACAGCTTTTAATTAGTGATAAGAATTAAAGCTGCAAGAAATCTATTTCACAACACATATTTTCGTTACAACACAGAATCATTCAGATTTCTGTTAGAAACACATGCCTATGGTCCAATTGCACGCATTGCAGTCCTTTTTAAGACAGCAACTTCTTGACTATATTATGTTTTTAAAAAAAAGACAAGCAAAGAAAATTCACACTTATTGCAACAAATTGAGACATGCATTACGCTAACATGTTGGTAATTAATCATTTCATATATACTCATCATCAAAGGACCTCGAAAAACCACGAATGACTCTTTACGACGAAACTTGCTGGATTTAACACCTTGAATCTTTTTTTTTTTTTTACTATTGATACAGATTATTTTTTAATTGTTGATATGTTCATGCTCTCATATCTCCACCTACGGACTATACTGGAATTGAGCTAATTTATTTTTTTTCATAGGTTCCAAGGTTGAATTCTGCAATTTTCAGATTTGATAATTTGCATGCTCATTATTTTTATTCATTGTTATGTATATTATACTTGAAAGTTATCAAAAAGGAGAGAAATAATATCCCTTAGTTCCATGCGTTGACTCTCAAAGGTACCCTTAAATAGGCAATTTAATGTACAGTTTATCAGCATTTTCGTCTTATTTCGATACCGAGAATTTCTATGGGAGAGAAATCTTAAGCTATGGTGGTAATATATTATCCTTCGGTTGTTAACTTTGAAAATGAAAAAAGAATCGTTTTCCATTAAAACCCTAATAAGAAACCACCTTGTAAAATACTTTAGATTTATATGCTAAGTCGAAATGATTGTACATGTATTTTATAAAAAATTTTGAACATGGTGTGTATATATATATATATATATATATATATATATATATATATATATATATATATATATCTATCTATGTTCTCTGCTCCAAATTTATATTGTTCCTGTGGACATTTGAGCTTGATTATTGTTCTTCAATTTTATATTTTTATATTTCTTTGAGGCAGTTAAACCTAAAGAAAAGAAGGAAATCTCAGACATTAATACCCTAATCATTTAATATAATATAATTATTGTTTTGTAACTGTTTTTTTTTTTCACAGGTATCCTAGGCATGGTGTGGTGCCTTTTCTGGATGATATTCTCTTTTGAGAAACCCTCAACAAACCCTCATATCACACAGGAAGAGCGTATTTACATAGAAACGTCGATAGCTGAGTCTGGCTGTCTAGTGGATAAGGTAACAAAATACAGGATTCACAGAATAAATTTTAATTTTCCAAAAAGTTAAAATTGTCATTATTTTAGCAAAGAAGGAGATATTTCTGTGGATATAATGAAAACAACTTTTTAAATATACAGAATTCAGTTAAATATACAAAGTGTTGCATCCATAAGTGAGATTTATCCATGATATCGAGTGAAATATACAGAGTCTGAAAGTAAAAGATCTTCTCTTTCTCCAAAGTCTCTTGACAGCACATGTTTGATTTCGTTAACGACCATTTTTCTATTTGCCTTCGATCAAATAATGCAAGGATAATTCAGAGACTTTCATGTTGATTCTATGGCCCCACGAGAGGAAACATTCCCTTCTTAATTCAATCTCGTCTAACAATCTCGGGATATTCAGAGGTATTTGAAAAAAGTATTTGCCGACGGTGGAACGAGAGTTTTCGCATGAAGATCTCTCTGTAGGTTATATAAAAGTTGAGTTAATCAAGACCTCTCTCCGCATTGTTAGATAAACCTTATTTAACGACTTCGTAAAAACACGAGTAGAAAAAGAATATGAAAAGATCGAAGAAACACCGAGGGCAAATCCTGGGTTTTAGCTGGTGATGACACTTCTATTCAATTAATATCCATTGACTTAAGATTCTATAAAGGTTAATCATCATTTGATGGACGGTTATAGAAAGCTGTCGAGGCAACGATTTCAAAATATCCGGAATTGAACAAAATTAGAGAAATACTAAATTTTAAGGAAAATTTCTGCAAGAAGAAATCCTTAGTCTGAGGTCTATCATGACGATGAAAAAAGTGCAAAACTGTATAACTTTAAAACAACTCTGGCAATACGTAAATTGCACAATGAAGTTATGAATGCTTATGAACCCAGCACCAAACCCTAAAATGCAGCTACACTTATTTTTCAATTTGATAATATTCAGACAAAAATATATGACATCAATAGAACGACAGTCTCATGGACAGTATAAGAATTTTTACCTGAATTATTTTGTGCTTTTGTCAGGATATGAGGACTCCCTGGTTAAAGTTCTTTTCATCCATGCCCGTATATGCGATAATCGTGGCCAATTTCTGTAGAAGCTGGACCTTTTACCTGCTAATCATTTCTCAGCCGATGTATTTCACTGAGGTGTTCCATTTTGATGTTTCCAAGGTAATTGCTTATATATATATGCTATACGGATACAAAAAAAAAAAAAAAAAGATTTTTCTTATCATCAAATAATGTTGAAAGTCTGATTTCAAAATGAAAGGTGCAAATGCATTATAAGCAGTGTTTTATTTGATAAAGCCAGAGTGCTCAGCATGCATTATACAAATTCTTAAAGCAGTAATAAACCACATTTATTGAATTAAAAATTTACCCTTTAGAGACACTTTCTGATTCTCTAAAATTTTGTAGAGTGGTATTTTAGCCGCCCTTCCACATCTTGTCATGGCGATCATTGTTCCAATAGGAGGATTTATAGCAGACAAGCTTAGGCAGCGCCTTCTGACTACTACTCATGTCAGGAAAATATTTAATTGTGGGGGTAAGGATATGAAATTTCAATCTACAAACCCAGTTAATATTTAATTGTGGGGGTAAGAACATGAAATTTAAGTGTACAAACCCAGTTAATATTTAATTATGGGGGTAAAGATATGGAATATCAATCTACAAAACCAGTTAATATTTAATTGTAGTGGTAAGGATATGGAATTAAAATCTACTAAGTTAATATTTAATTGTGTGTATAAGGAAATGGGATTTTAAAAAAAAAGTCTTACAACCATTTTTATTTTTTGACAAATTGCAAAAAAACATATACCATGATCATTATTATTTCTAAAACTTTTTTGTATTGTAAATTTTAATGGAAATATGTTTCTTTGAAAAACTAATAGTATGTAAAAATCAAGGTTATTTGACTTACCTCGTAGAAAACGTCATGTTCTAACCCCGGAAATTCCTAGACATAGTCTATAAAAAAAAGGCACGTGACGCTCGGATGTTCCATAGACTTACTTCAAGGAAAACTACAAGAAGGCAACTATTTTTTTACCAATGAAATATGTGGAGATAACGAATAGTATTCAACTAATAATATAGTATAATTCATAAAAAACGATCTTGCCATAGTATTGTTTCTGGGAACAAAGTGTTTTAGGCATAAAATACAACTTTTACAATTGCTTAGCCCATAGTAAATAAGGATATAGCCCATAGTAAATCAGGATATAACCCATAGTAAATCTGGATAAAGCCTAATAGTAAATCAGGAAATAGCCCATTATAGTAAACCATTTGAACCAGGATATAGCCCATAGTAAATCAGGATATAGCCCATAGTAGATCAGGATATAACCCATAGTAGATCAGAATATAACCCATAGTAGATCAGGATGTAACCCATATTAAATCAGGATATAGCCCATAGTAAATCAGGATATAACCCATAGTAAATCTGGATAAAGCCTAATAGTAAATCAGGAAATAGCCTATTATAGTAAACCATTTGAACCAGGATATAGCCCATAGTAAATAAGGATATAGCCCATAGTAAATCAGGATATACATGTAACCCATAGTTAATCAGGAAATAGCCTGTTATAGTAAACCACTTGAACCAGGATATAGCCCTTAATAAACCAGGATTTAACCCAGAGTAAATTAAGAAATCGGGATATAGGCCGAAGTTAATCATGATATAACCCATAGTAAATCAGGATGTTTTTCTTAGGTTTTGGTCTAGAGGCTTGTTTTCTGCTTGGAGTTGCAATTACAAGAAACACAACAACAGCTATCGTATGTTTGACTCTAGCAGTTGGATCCAGCGGGTTTGCCATCTCAGGTAATAATGAATTTTCATTTTTAATTCGAACAGATAGGATTTGTCTTAAACCTCCAATCCTAACAAAAAAATCTAAAAATTATATCTATGGGTTTTTTCAAGTCTTCAAAAATTACGATGTAGCATTTATTTGCTCTCACACAGGAGAGCCCTATTGATGTACATTTCAAAATTCTTGGATAAAATGTTAATTAAGTCTGCAACAAACAAATGTAACACGTTTCTGACATTCAAGTGTTTCAGATGTAGTTGTCAGAGAATGATTAGCATACAGCAATGCAACACATCTACCCTCGGGGCATAAAAAGTTTGAATAGAGAACTAAGGAACTCGGTACTAGGAACCTTTCTGGTTTAAGCAAAAGCTAATTTAAATGACATCATACAAATGTTTGGGCTGAAACTTGCGTACAAACAGTGCAAAGGACCGTAATTTAATACAATGTTATACATCATCGTTCCACAGATGAAAGATGGTTTCAATAAAATGAAAAATTAATGATCCCTCTGATATCGGTATCATCGATCAATCTTAAATATAAATTGCATCAGACGCAATTCCGAGCTTTTGTTGTGGTTCGGTCTCACATTCCGTGCCGGGAGGCAATTCTATTGCTGTATTTGGCACAATATAATGACATTTGATTTGTAAACCAATTATAATTTCCAGAACTCATTTGCAATATCGTCAGATTTTGTATTTTATAATACCAGACCCTCTCTGTGGAGCAGATTTTGTATTACTTAGTAGTCTCAGCGGAGCAGATTAGGTTTTGAATTCTGTGTAGGACAATGCAATAATATGTATTTTCAAAAAGCTAGCATAAAATCGTCAAAACAGTGATACTAAGTGTTTGATCATTACTGAAGGATGGAAATCCGGACCTAGTTAACCTTTGCATTATCTTTACGCCTCATTAACATTGCTACACATCTCATAGAGATTTTCGAGTGATTTCAACTTGTAGACGTCGAAACCTTTGCAACAGAAGATCAGACCACTCTGTTGATAATGTCGAAGAATAATGCAGAAAATAAAGTTCTTTCAATCATGACACCAGTAAAGTTTAATTTTGATTTTATGTTTTGAAGTTGTATGCATTTAATCTTCAGCTATAGAGCACGTCAGGTCTTGTGTAATTTGCAGACGAAGGCAGAGAGTGAAAAAAAAATCTAAAAGCAAAGACAAAAGAAGTCCCTTGTCAAATTATGCTTATCGGTATAATTTGACAAGGGACATAAGATTTTTATAATGTCCCTAGATAAAATATCTGTACCGGTATAATTTGATCTTTTCAAGTAAGACTTTTCTAATAAGCCAGACGCTTTGTGTGAAAAAGAGCTACAGAACAGGAAAAAGATGTTCGTATTAACTTCTAGGATTACCAGCAGGTGCTTGTTATCATGTAATTCATAACATCCTGTATATATTGGCTATGACCTTCTCTTTTTAATTAAACTTCATATATTTTCAAGCATTTCTATAATGCTAAAATATATGTCTGTCTTGCCTCAGGTTTACATGCAATCCACACTATTGAGCCCCTTCCTTGAATAATGAACCTTTCCGCCAGTTTTCCTTAATTTTTTCCGACTCGACAAACCATTTATGTTGGTATTAATCACCTATTTTCAGATTATTGCTTGGTGGCATCCGTATTGTCTCGTTAATATAACATAGAACGATGGATTTAATTCCATTCTTTATGGCCACTTTGTTTAAGGATACGATATCAGAGCAGTCAGGGAGTGCTAACCTTGTACGTCTCACGTTAGACATGTCTTAATTACAGAACTAGATGCCGTACTTAAAAGATAAAAGATAAACTTTAGTTCCGGATTTTTGTCCTTCTGCTATTGCTTGAGCTTCAGAGTTTATGCTCTTGTACAAAAAACAATATAGTCATAACTGCGTGGACTCTGAGGTCTACGCTGAAAATATATAAGCGAGAGAAAACCGTCAGCATGCACATACACCAGAATACTAGACACGTTGCCCCTAAGACAACTCGCTCTTAGGGCTGGGCAACCCAAGCAGAAATAATCTTCCGACGGGACAACAACTGTTCACATTCACAAAGACGTCATCAACTAAAATGCACATTTTACAGATGATTATATATCTGAATACCTTAGATACATGTATTTATTAGTACCTTACCGGTGAAACCGGAGGGGACTATAGGTTTCCTCTGAGTCTGTCCGTCCGTCTGTCTTTCAGTCTGTCTGTCTGTCCGTCTGTCTGTCCCTCTGTCTGTCTGTCAGTCTGTCCCACTTGGTTTTCCGCACTTTTTTCCTAAACGCTTGCAGATATTGAGCTGATTTTTGGTATGTGAGTGTATCTTGATGAGTTACAGATCAAGTTTGCATTTCGTCCCGCTTCATTGTTTTTTGACGGAATTATGGCATTTTCAATTCTTAACGGGAACCAGATTACATTTGCCGGTAGGGGACTAGTATTGCTAATGCAATACTCTCAGAATGCTTGTTTATTATCGTAAACTAGCTCCAAACTCCTCTAATACACATAAATAAGTGGATAAAGATATACATTTTCTAGTTTTCTACTATAGTTATATGAAGTATAGTAAAAACATTTTTCCCAACAATTAAGATGGGGAAAGCCCATGGTACAAGCAACTTATAGAGGAAAAATCAACCAAAATGGGTGTACAAGATGTTTTTTGGACTAGTTATTCTGATTCCTGTTGATCTTATCAAAAAAGTTTAGCATCTACATATATTATGATATGTAATACTACATTATAATGATGTATATCTCCAATCAATCACTATTTTTTGTATTCCCTGAACATCTAGGTCGTGGTATTTAGCCGACTTTTAGCAATTAACGTACTGAAAAAGTTTCATGTTGCAGATCTAGATTGATTGATTGTTACTACATGTATGTTATTTTACGTCCAGTTCGAGAACTTTTCATTTATATAAAGATGACAACATATACCCATGAAGGGCTTCAAATCTTGGTCTTTACTCTGCATCCTCTTTCTCTTGCTATTGGGTAGCCTAACTTCATCTATCAGTTTATTTGTTTTAGTTATACTTCTATAGATCCTCTTCTGTGTTGCATTATACTCAGGTGATAGTTAAGACCCTTGGGTCTCTTGTTTAAGATCTAGTAAGTCCCTCCTTTACTATATTTTGAATTGCATCTTCTTTGTGTTCATATGTTCTTTTGCATATCTTTTATTCTTTCAAGGTTTTTCTGATTCCTGTGCTTTCCTCACTTTTAACATACTCTTTGACTATCTTTGAATAACTTCTTTTTCAAGACACAATCGCTCTCTATGATATATAAATCGCTTTTTGTTTGCTTCCCCATATCAACTTTAGTGAAAACGGGAGACAGACATTGATAAAACAATTCATTAGCAACATTAAATATTCATAAGCAACATGAAGGTCTAAAGTTCTGTACAAATTTAATGATAAAGGTCTCCATGAAATATCTATGATATATGTTCATACATGTACATATTGCTTGAATGAAAATTACATATACATGTATATCAGAGATGTAATGGGCTCAAATAAATTAGATGATTCCTAAGTAAGTTTTGAAATCATTTACAGTAATTTATAAATATGTTTAGAAATGGACACTTGATTTAGGAAGTAACAACTGATACAATAAAATGATATGTACATGCATAATATTTATGTTTAAAGTTATTTATTTTTAAAGCAAAGCGGTTTTAAATCCCCGAACATTTCGTTTGTAACTCTCAGTTACTTTCAGATCACAGATCATAGGTTTCATTGTCCTATCAAAGTTCAGTCATATATAAATGTACATGTATGGATTTTCCATTCCTATCATGCAATAAGTAGAACACTGTTTCTGAGAGCATATTATTCTGTGTAAATATTTTTAAAATTAACTTTAAAATTATATTTCTAGGTTTCAATGTCAACCATCTGGATATAGCACCACGCTTTGCCAGTATTCTGATGGGATTATCTAACGGTGTGGGGACACTATCAGGCATGCTTTGCCCAGTTGTGACAGAACTTCTCACGAAGAAAGGGGTAAGATGCAATATCAGTTAAAAGTCTTTGTTAATAATCTCCGCGCATGTAGTTTGGTACATCCGTTTCATATTTTGGCTGATTTATTGACTATAGATAACAATTGCCAACTAATAACTAAATTGTGTGACAAGCGGATGACTTCAGCTTTTCCATCGTTAACCTCACTTATTGTTGTAGTAATATTCCACCAACACCTGCTTTTGGTGTGTATGTCTCCCAAGTGATTCGATACTAAGAGCATGCTCTGAGTACGATCATTTTAACTAAGGGAAGCTACTGACAAATATGTTGTTACAAGGATTTCAACAATCCCGTTTAGAGTCTGCCTCTCGCAGTTTTTACGGTCCTTATAATAACCTTGTTTGTAAATACAACCTTCATATGGTTGGGTCGTAATTTGTCTCATGTTTCATACGTTTTTGGGTCATTTTTTAATACTGAATTTGACTACTGAGAACCCTTACTTGATCAATACTTAGGACTCATGACCGTCCGACAGGGGATACTTACTCCTCCAGGCACCCTGATCCAACCTCTGGTGTTTCCAGGAGTCCTCGTTTTAGGCCTGTTAACACGTTTTGTTTTGTTACTGGAGATCAATCACTGTTTGTTATCTTCACCTAACAGACTCAAAGTAATTCAGGAGGGGGAGGCGCAACCTAAAAAATGACAAGAAAAAAACCCTTAATTGTCCAAACTCGAAAACCTTTTAAGCATCTAAATGATAATTTCTGTATTATAAAATGTTTAATCATGTTAGAGAAAGTGGGGACTGTCCCAACCTCTCACCCCACACGTTCTACCGGCTTGCCTTTTACATGTAATATTATTAGTTAGATTGCTTTGTTTGCAGACAAAATGCACGCGTTAAATGATTCCTGTCTGATTAGGAACCTTTTCAGCAGTTGTTTAACATAAAAATGTTGTATTGTTCATACACTGTTTTTAAAATCATTGCACTGAAATTTCAAATTGATTAGTTGCACGTACAGATTAAGTGTTTCACGTTCTCTTTTTCTGATGTAAGATAAAAGATTCATATCATTGGTACATAGAAAAAGTTATTGTGATGGGAAAATAATGTAAAATTATTTCTCGCAATGCTTGAAAGCTCTATCCAACAGAATCCGTTAAATATATAATTTTCAACTAATCAATGCAAGATTAATCTTGTGATACTATTATCTCTTTAGAATATCTAAGCCAAAAAATGAACCAATCAATTAGAAATTAATAAATAAAAAGATAATTTATATGCAACCGACGTTTCTGATAACTAGTTGTCATTAGCTTGTCATGCCTAGAATATATTCTATTGTTCTATCCTCGACTAGTCTAACATTAACATTGCATTTAGTAAGCCAAATAAAAGTCAGATTAATAGTTTGATGTAATCAACAGCGGTTTTTAACGTATAAATTACATATCAGTATGAAGTTTTGATTACTGGACAGTATTTAACGAAATTATGTTTTTTACCTTACCGCAGGAAATAATATTGACAATCAAGCTTTAAAGTCTTCGAAATGCAATTTCTAATGATCCTTCATAAATATATTCTTTGAGTACTGTATGTACATGTAGGTTTACTTTGAAATGAACAAGAATTAAATTGTCGTGCTTGTCTACTTCTGATTTATATGTTTCTTTTTTAATATATTGACGATGCATTTGAATACATACTTATTAAACGCTTTTGACAATTGGCGGACCATAAAACTATTAAAAAAATTGCGATACCCCTAAAAAAACAAAACAAACAAAAACTAAGAATTGGCCCATTGTTGTATCCCATTTGTATGAGTTGCATAATGCACATTCCTTATGTGCAGTGAAGGGCAATGATGATTTATACTTCATTGCTTTTTTTCGTTCATAATATCATTTTGTAAATTTTGAATTTACTGGATGAAGGTAAATGCAAATTTACAACATGATGACTAATTTTTCCTTTTTCTGTTATCAAAAAACTTATAACATGATAAAAATATGAATTTTTGCTTTTAGACTGCTGATGAATGGCAAAACGTCTTCATCATCGCAAGCGTGGTGCATTTCCTCGGCATCATATTTTATGGCATCTTCGCTTCCGGCGAGAAGCAGCCGTGGGCAGAACCACCAGAAGAAGATAGGTGGCGTCCTGAAGATACTCTTAAAGCAGATGGTTCGGGAAAATTGTTTTCTTATGGTGCTTTTCATGGGTATGATGCAAACCAAGCAGAGGAGAAAATGAACGGAGGGGTTATATCAAACGGACATGTAGCAAACGAGTTTCAAGGGAATGGAGAATATGGCGGATTTGATAAAAGTGAGGAATATTATAACAATGGATATGGAGGGGATTATGGGAAAAGAATGTCGTTTGATGCACCGTTATATAATACTAAAGAGGAACTTGTACAGGTGCAATCAAAAGATAGTTATCTAAATGACAAGAGAGAATTATAATAATTGTGATAGTATTAGGTACAACTTTTGGATTTAGATCATGAAATCACCATTCCACAACGATCTCGTTGCTATTTCGAGAATATCATTGCATTGCTCTTCACTAATTTATAGATAGATTTACTTTACTTATATGTTGTACAAGTTTAGGAGTTAAACTAAATCGTGGTTAGATTATTTGTATCATTGATAATTAATCAATCATATTAAGAGTGAGAAGTATTAACAAAAACAATATGATAATCTTGCCTTGTTTAAGAAAACACTGTCAGTACTTTTAATATTGTCACAAACAAAAGATGCTGTTAAGATTAAGTATTTAAATCTTTTGAATAGTGTGAAATAAATAGTGAAACACACAAAAAAGGTTCATAATTATGGAGTCCTGTTTTATTTCACTGTGTTTGACACTTTATAAGTGTTATGTTTTGTTCAAGTTTATAATGTTCTATTGGTACTTGTTAAAATATTGGAGGTATAAGTTTTGTTTTGCATGACATCATGATAATTTTCCTTTCAATGTGATACAGATACATAGGTTTCGAGTCTTTAATTTACCTATATTTCTAGATATCCCGAGAATTCAATGCTTTTTGGATATTTTATTAATTCAAAAAAAAAAAAAAAAAAAAAAAAAAAAAAAAAAAAGAAGCCAGAATCCGTAAAACATTTTTAACGAAATAGGATTTTCACAATCAAAAACATTTGAATTTGGAAATCCAATTTTCTCTTACTGCTCACTCCTCCATGGCACCTGATCTCACCTGATGTTTTGGAGGTCCATGTTTGCTCTGCTCCAAAATTTGTTTTCTTTACTGGACTTTTGAGCTTGAAAACTGTTCGTTATCTCCATACATTTCATTCATTTCCAAAACAGGACAAAGTTTAGAAAAATATGTATTGGAGAGTATTAAAATCTATTTAGATGCACTATTGACGGGAAAAAAACGCGTCACATAATTCTGTTATAAATTTTTGACAACATAAAAGATAAAATCAGAGTTTGACTTTGAAGGCGAGGTAATGACTTTGATTTTTAATTTTATTAATAACATAACTCAGTTTCGTAAGAATAGATATTTAATTCATTCTAGTACGTCAGTCTTTTAGCGACTTTTAAAATATATGATTTAAATAACGTACTAGTATGTAGTGTATTAGAGTTTATTTTTATATAAATTCCTCAGAGAAAAAGAGATATTAGACATTTGTTACTTTTTTGTTGGTTTGTTAATCTTTGTTATGTAATGTATAGTAGAGTGTGTTATTATGCAATCTGATATTAAACCTTTTGTTTAATACGATACGTTTTTGTTTATCATTTTAAATTATTAAATCATTGACTCATTGTTAAAATATATTTATCATTACAACTACAGGGCATTATGGCAAATCAAATACCTTTCTGCCCTCAGGTATTCAGAAGTGACTAAAGAATTGGATAATTACAGAATCAGTACGTACTGTTTCCAGCTGACAAAGTAGGTGACAATATTGTCTGTTTTTAAGGCTCATCATTACAACTGGAATTTATAGGAACTTGGATTTAATTCTGAAGTGGTAATCCAACTTACACGCATAGTTTCCGTTCAAAGGTAGAAATTCTTCAAAATCATGTGTCATTTTAAAATATTTTCAGTATTTCCAAATACATGTAACTAGATACAATTTGAATAACCATACCCATACTGAATTGCAAAAAATTGCAAAAGTCTTTACAAAGGAAGAAGTATTTCGAGAACTAGTATATGTTCAATCGAGCCTCTTTCTTTACTTCTGACGAAAATATTCAGCAGTGAATGGAAAACTTAAGCAGTGCATTTCAGAAGTGGTGTCCTCAAGTGTGGATACTAAAATGAATGGCATCAATTAATCATTTTTTAAAACTTTACAGCTTCCACACGATAAAATAAATATCAGGCTTTTTTTTACATCATAGACAAATGATTCTTTAAAAAAATTGAACTCAGAAGTTTTCATACCTAGTAATTAGTCAAATTATTGTACAAATCATACTGATTCTCAAACAATTTACAAGTTGATATTAAACAGACCTCATTGACAATATCCTTGCAATCTGTCAGAATCCACGTGGATAGCAATGATTCCTCTTTATTAACAGGCTTGTTTTTGTATTCTTTTGAAGAAGAATTTAATAAAAAAAAAAAATTCTACTTAAAAGGAATTAGTCTCTTGCAGTGGCCTTCAATTCGAAATGTAGATATATCTCGGACTTTTTATCAATTAGCAACTGATTTTTATTCAAACGTTGATTCGATATATACCACTGAACTCGAAATAAAGACACCACAGAGTCTAAAACATCTGTTTCCTATTTGGATGTTTTAGTAGAAAAAAAATAATGACAAATTAACATCTTAACTCAATGATAAATATAATGATTTCAAATTTTCTATCGTCAATTTCCTTTATTAATGTAGCAACATACCATTATCACCTGCATATGGTGTTTATCTCCCAGTTAATTCGATATGCAAGAGCATTTCTTATGTACGGTAATTATGTAGCAAATGAAATTTGAAGATGAAAAACAGAAAGTATGCTAAAATTCCAATCATACAATACAAATTTAGAACAAAGGAAATACAGACCTCTGAAAACATTAGAAGTGGACCATAAAGGCGTAAGCATTCCCTATCTACCGGTTACATCCACTGTAAGCCTTTTTTTGGAAAGGGGAAATGGGGTAATCCGTAGACACTCCAGTAAGAAAAAGACAACTTAACATTTTTTATCACATGTTAACCCCTTTATCCAGTGGATATCACTCGTTGGATATTTTTTTTTTGATATCCCACTGCTGTGACGTCACAATGGGTTTTGCGTGAAAATGAAGTAAATTGTGTGGATTCTTCTATAGAAACAGTGTAAAACATTGAATTTGATGTATATAACATGTAATAAAAAGAATTTCCCATGATTTGTGATTGGATATGATATTTATCCAACTTGTTGTAGGCTCGGGGATAAAAACATACTACGAGTTGGATAAAAATCATATCCAACCACAAATAATGGGAGATCCTATATGTATTATATGTGCCAGTCAATATTTAACAAAACAACAAGCTGTAATTGCAAACAAGGTCAATGTATCGACCACTGCTTTGCAAAAGGTTGGTACGATTGTAACATCAACGTTTTTGTCAGAACCCTGTCGGTTTGAATCGTGCATAGAACATGCATTTGAATATTAAACTTGAGGACATAAACACCATGTGCGTCGCTCGCGTGGCGCAGTGGTTAGAGCGTTTGCTTTGGAGTCGCAGAGTAAGATTTGATCCCTACGTCGCGGGTTCGAATCCCACTCCGGGATGTGGAGACCGATCCATCAAATGAAACCGTATAAACTGAGGTCCCGTGTCACTGTAGGTGCTGGCACGAAAAAGCTCCCTCACTTCGTAATGGCCCTTAGTGCCAATAATAGGTCTAAATTTGCAGTCCTACACTGGCAAGTGGTGGCGTCTCGATATAAATAAAAAATTCTCAAGAAAAACGTTAAACAACAAACAAACAAATAATCATCATGTGCAGATGATAAAGGTGCATTGCTAAATAATTAAGGGAAGTGATAGAAAAATTGAAGTCACCACTTTTGTTTAAAGATATGCTAGACTCTATGGGATATAAAGAATCAATGCATGTATGAATAAATACATGTATTGTTAAATGTTAATTATTGTTAATTGATAAATAGTTGATATCTCTAATGTAAAAGGTGAACACAATGAATATTGATCAATCTCATATATCCAGTAAAGAATACGAAAGCTGCAAAAATCACGGACCCCGATCTTTCAACTGGCGTCATAATTTCATAAAAATACAAGCTCAGTTGAAGTTTACGCCAAGTGATGAGCCAAATATGAAAAAGAAGACCTTGAAACTTTGCCAGAATGGATCAAATGTATCAGATGGATGTTAAAATCGAGGATTAAGCGATTGAGGGGCAATATGAAAACCATCTATCCTTCAGTCTTCCACAATGCAGAAGTGAAACAAGAATTAGATAGATAACACCATCAGTATATACTGGTCACCGCTGACAAAGCAGGTAACAACATTGTCTTGTAAGGCTCATTATTTTAATTGTATTATAGAGGAACTAGGATTTAATTCTGCTAGTTGTAATCCAAGTTATACCCATAGCCCCCTCTCTAAGGGGGATATTCCTCAAAACCATATTTCAATTTTAAATATTTTATATTCCCAACAATCAAAATGAATACGACTTACCATACCTATAATGGATTCCAAAACTACATAAAATCCTTACAAACAAAGATACATAGCGGGTTCCAGTAAATGTTCTACCAAGCCTCTTTCTTTACTCCTCACTATAAAATATTTACAGCAGTGAAGGAAAAACTTCAGGCGTACTGTACAACAGTTTATTAAAGTGGTGTAAATCAGATGTGGATCTTTAAAATCTTTAAGGAACTTTAGAAAAATTGAAATCACACAATTTTACTTAAAACAATAATATCAAAACGTACGGCTTTTCTACATTTTATGCAACCATTCCCCATGATAAAAAATCCAGGTTTTTTGACTTCATTGACAGCTGCCTTTTCAATAAAAATGGAAATCGTAGATATACTTAACTTTTGTTTGGTCATTTACAAAAAAAATTTGTTAAGAAACATTTTGATTTTACACACAAGTACTCTGAAGTTGATATTTTTAAAAAAGATGCTTGAGTTTCTTATTGACAATATCTGTGTAATTTTTGGAAATCAGGTCTTCCAACAATCTGTTGGAATGTCCATGGGTACCAATTGTGCCTCGTTATTAGCAGGCCTATTTTTGAATTGATATAGAGCAGAATTTATTCAGAACCTTTTACTTGCTGTGGCCTACATTTAGATATATCGACGACGTATAATCAATAAACAATTCGATTTATTCCAGTGAGCTTGAATAAAAGATACCATATTTGAATATTTTACAAGAAAAGGGCATTAATGGTTACCTAACAACCAAGCTTTATTATAAACGTGAGGACTTCAATTTTTCAATCGTTAACTTCCCTTACTTATACAGCAATATACCCTTATCACCTGCACACGGGGTTTATATATCTCAGTTGATGCGATGCGATGCGGAAGAGCATGTTCTACGTATGAACAATTTCTAAAACGAGGCAACCTATTGACAAACAAGATGATGAAACAGGGATATCAACAGTCTCGTTTGAAGTCATCATTTTGCAAGTTTTATGGTCAATACAATGACCTTGCCAGCAAATACAACCTATCATTAAGTCAAATGATGACTGACGTTTTTCATACTAATTGTTGGGCCATTATTTACACACTGAAATTTCTAAGGATTTTCCCGTTATTTATCGTTCATGATGAGAAGAACTAGGCGGGTGTGACCGGTAGGCAAGGGATGCTCACTCCTCCATGGCACCTGATCCCACCTCTGTCTTTGGAGGTCTGTGTTTGCTCTGCTCTCGATTTGTATTGTTTTAATGGACATTGATTTTGAATATTATTCGTTATCTCCATATTTCATCAATGAGATATTTGGGCAGGTATTTGGACAATATCAAAAGACATATGCTGAGATACTTATGTGTTGAATCAGAG